CTGCCCCTTGTGCTGGGGACCCGCCTGTTCCCCTGGGTCCTGCCGCCAGGACTGCCCGGCTGCTAACGCTCTGCCCTGCTCCTGCCAGGTGGCCCTGCCGGCGTTGTCCCCCACGATGCAGATGGGCACCATTGCACGCTGGGAGAAGAAGGAGGGTGACAAGATCAGCGAAGGGGAGCTGATAGCGGAGGTATCTCCTGGGCACAGGCTGTGCTGCGTTTCGAATAGGCTGCGCGCATGCCTGCGGTCTTGGGCCTGGTCGCTCCCCCCACCCCAGCACAGATCTTCTGGAGATGCTGTCAGTAGCCAGTGACTAACAGCCTCTCAGGTTTGGCTGCTGCTTCTCCTTCCTCTGGAGTAAGGAGCAGAAGCGAGGCTTATTTGAGAGCACGTTTTCCAGAGCCGGTGGGACAGGGTGATTTTGCTAGAACTGTGTGCATTGGGACCCTCCGCTGTCAGATGGGAAGGCTCTGAGCTCGCCAGTATTTTGCTTTGTCTTAATGATGTCCTGTTCTCTCTCAAAGGTGGAGACAGACAAAGCAACAGTTGGCTTTGAGAGCATAGAGGAATGTTACTTAGCCAAGATCCTGGTGCCAGAAGGAACAAGGGACGTTCCTATTGGGGCCATAATATGTATCACAGTTGAAAAGTATGTGTTTTGATAACGTTTCGGTGGAATTTTCTCTGTTGGGGCTGCTTGGGTGCCCTGCATGAAAGGCTTAGAGACAGCAGTCTGACTGGTTTTGTGGTTCCACGTTCTCCTCTAGGCCTGAACATGTTGATGCCTTTAAAAATTACACGCTGGATTCTGCAGCATCTGCTCCTCCTGCAGCAACAGTGCCTCCCCCCCCAACTGCAGCTCCCTCGCCACCGCCTCAGCCTTCTCCTCAGGCTCCTGGCAGCTCTTACCCTCCTCACATGCAGGTGAGAGAGCGTTCCTAATGAATTCATGTTTGTTGCACTCTTTTTCTGTGACTTTGGCATTGCTAGCCCCAGGGTATTGTGCCATAAATTCCGTCTAGAGTGGGAGGTTACTAGCTACAGCTGCAGGAGTGCAAGCCACTTAAGTGCATGCTTAAAGTAGGTGTCATTGGAGGTCCCGGTAAGCTGTTTTCTGAGAGGTATTTTAGCATTTCTTCTGTCAGTAGAAGAGAGACTTGTCTTTCTAGGATTCTTATGCAGGCCAGAAAAACCTGCTATGATTTGGACAGGTGTGACATAAAAAGACCCTGTGCAAATTGTGAATAAGCTCTGAAGACGCCGCTCGCATCTCCGAGCGAGGCTGAGTGTGGTATTGTGGTGAACAAACCAGATGTGTTTGTGGGTGACTAATAATGAGTTGTATTTGTGGGTAATGTTTTCACGCCGCTTAGTTGTTGAAGCGTACCTCTGTGTTTGAGTGCTTTGTTATGGGTTTATTTCTGCAATGTTCCTTTGAAATAGGAAATTGCTACTAATTTCATTTTACAGATGACATATGGAAACTGACTTGTCTGAGATGTTACAGGAAATCAGGGATTGAGCAGGGAGTTAATTCAAAGCTCTTTTATCTGACTTGTGTTTCTACTACTAAACCAGTTTTCTTCCCACTTGCTTGTCTTTTCCATCCAATTCTGCTCTGAAGGTGTGATTCCACATGCTGTTTCTGTTGCATGTGTTTAGTGTGCACGTGAAAACGTACAGCATCTTTGTGCGCTTATCGGAGGTAAAGCGTGTATAACTTCTAAAGGAGCGAAACCTGCTTGCTGCAGACAGGGTGACTTGCTTCAGTCTTCCTTTTGGTCTTACAGGCAGCAACTGCAAGACACTCTCTGTGCAGTGGTGGTACTAAACGCTTCAACATGGACGTTTCTTGGGTTTTGCTTCTGCTTGCTTTGCTGCTCGATAAAAGAAGCCAAACTAGAGATATGGCATAGCACTGTACTTTGCTTTAGTGGAACCAGATCTAAGAGTGCAGCAAAGACCAGCCACTTCCTTTGTTTGACATCACTTAGCTGGGAGTTAGAATTCTGTTTCTGTTCCTTTTGGGTTATCAGAGTCTGATTTACTTGCATTTACTGGCTTCACAGGTCACTCTCCCTGCACTGTCACCTACCATGACAATGGGCACAGTGCAGAGATGGGAGAAGAAGGTTGGGGAGAAACTGAATGAAGGAGACTTACTGGCAGAAATTGAGACGGACAAAGCCACAATAGGTGAGTCCGCTCCAAAGCCAAGACAGGGTGGTATATAGCCTTGAAGGAGGAGGAGGATCCAGAGTAGCTTTTGTGCAAACTGTTCTCTTCCAGCTGCCCAGGACACAAAGCTGTGGGCAATGAAAAACAGTATTGTTACTTCTCATTCCAGTGCAGAGGTAAACACTGCAGCTCCTAAAAACACTTCTGTTTCTTCATCTGTTGTTGTAATACACGTACAGTGCACAGAGATGTTTGCCTGCTAGTTGCATGGAGACGGATTCTCTTGCCTGCTAAAAAATGGCAGGGCTTTAGCTACCACTGTCTTTAGAAGCGTCGTAAGCATGAAGGGACTCTTTGGCTGTAGCAGGCACCAAAACAGTTTTATTTCTTTCCCTTCCAGGCTTTGAAGTGCAGGAAGAAGGCTACTTGGCAAAAATCTTGGTGCCTGAAGGAACAAGGGATGTGCCACTAGGAACAGCCCTCTGCATTATTGTGGAGAAAGAGTCTGATATTCCAGCCTTTGCTGACTACCGGGAGACTGGAGTAGTTGACCTGAAGCCGCAAGCTGCTGCTGCTGCTGCTCCTCCACCGGTAAGGACCCTCCTTAGCAGGGAAGAGAAGTTATGGGGACCACTGAGAACTGCTGATTTGATCTGAACAGTTCTGATGGTTTGACCCTGTGAAGCCCTAGGTCCAGTAATAACGTTTATGATCTTATGATGAGTGCCAGGCTAACGTATTTGTTGGTGATAGATATCACTTGTTAGGTCATCCAGTTTGCCCTGCGAGACCTGGAGCAGATCGCTCGTGATCTCTTCTCTAGCCTGTTATTTGAACCTGTTCTAATGCCGCCTCCTCCCACCGAAGTTAGGAGGACAAATTATTTCACCTTTTTCTGATGTACAGTTCGGCTTAATTGGCCACCTTCCCAGGAAGTTTTTGGTAGGACTTTGACACTCGGAAACTTCTCTGAATCTGAAAATCCTCCCAGATTAACGTCTGTTTGCTGTTCCCTTTACTGATAATGAAATACGTTCTCTTATTGTACTGGAGTGAAACCTTCAAGGCTCTTGCTGAAGCTAATGGCTTTGATCCTTCTGTTAAGGTGATGGCAACTCCTGCTGTTCCTCCTCCTCCGCAGCCTGCTGCCCCTCCCACTCCAGCCTTCGCTGCAGGTGTGCCTTCTCCCCAGAAAGGAAGGATCCTAGTTAGTCCCCTGGCAAAGAAACTGGCAGCAGAAAAAGGAATTGACCTCGCCCAGGTGAAAGGTAAGTTGTCTTTCCCTTCCATTGCTCTCGCTGTCAAGTATCTGTCCCTCTAGGTGCATGCTTACTTATCCTTTCCCTTCTTTCCTGTCAGGAACGTTTGCAGCTCTCCCTCACCCCCAGGGGCTGTGTTAACTAACTTATCTCTGTTAAACAAAAGTGGTACCCTTATAAGCAATGCCCAATTGCAAATAATTGATACCCTCTTATTTTTCCCTTGACTACCTTAGGTACCGGACCGGATGGTAGAATCACAAAGAAAGATGTGGAGTCATTTGTGCCACCAAAGGTTGCTCCAGTGAGTAGGCCTGAGATCTCTGAGAATGGCTATGTTGTGAAAATGATGGAAATGCTCCATAGGCATGCAGTTATTACATGGAAGTGTTATCGTCCCTGGATTGGTTGGGTTATGATTCTACGTGGACTGTAGAGACTATTAGATTGCAAAGCTTAACTTGTCAGAAATGCGAAGGAAGTTTTCTTCCTTAATTTGTCCAGTTCGTATTTCACTGAAGAAACAAGTTCTGTGCTCCCAAGCATTCTTGCGGTCGCAACATTGCTTTGGGTTCAGGTAAGCCTAGTTTCAACTGATCTGACGTTGCTGAAGAGAGGCAAACAGAGTGAAAGCCAGCATTATGAAGCGACAGCCTGTTGTAGTCCTTGTCCCAACTCTGTTCTTTGCCAGCTTCTGTTACAAAAGACAAGTACTGGAAGTGCTGCTTTGTGTACTGCTGGAAGGCACATGGCTGAGTGCGGTTTGCAAGTGTAGCATACATCTCTGCTGAATCCCTGAAACGCAATCATCTAGCGGGACTTACCATTCTTGGAACTCTATAGCAGTGTATATCAGTCTCATATTTCAAAATCAGTCTAGTGCTACATATAATGATTAAATATAGGGTTTATAAATATCTAGAGAATCTAGCGGGGACCAGGGAGGAGAAGCTAGAGAGCAGAAGTACCTGCTGCTCACAAGTGACAGACACATAGCCCCAGCGCTTGCTTCACGTGCTGACCTACTCTGTCAAATGATATTTGGATAATGCAGTGAACTACACTGTCTTTCTCTAATTGCAGGCCCCAGCAGTAGAGGCAGTACCTGCAGTTGCTGCAGTTGCAGCAGCGCCAGTGGGGACTTTCACAGATATCCCTGTCAGCAACATTCGGAGGGTGAGAAGATTTTATCGCTTTCTGAGATTGTTATTTGCAGTCTTGAATTTTCTGACTTGATTTGCTCTTTTAATTGCTTTCATTGATACCTTCAGGTCATTGCTCAGCGGCTGATGCAGTCTAAACAAACAATACCTCACTATTACCTGTCTATCGACGTAAACATGGGAGAAGTGCTGGTGCTAAGAAAAGAACTCAATCAGGTACAGCAGCTGGAGAGTCATGGCGAGAGTGTGGGGGAATAAAATGCTAGATTCTCTCACAGGCTTTCCCACTCTGCTCTTTGGTGATGCACCCCTTTGAATTAGGAAAAATAATCTTTCCACTGCCCGTGCTGCTTCTGGTGGATCAGTTCTGGACCGCCTTGTGGCGGAATGGGACTTTTTAACCAAGTACTGTGCACTGGTATTCTGACTTCCCCGAGAGCGGTACTTTGCTTGGAGTTCTTCCTTTTTTTCAGCTGGAGGGCAAAAGGTAAAAAGAGCACCTGCTTTTTAAGTGAGATGCTAATTCTAAGCCAAGTTTGGGGAAACAGACATGAAAAAATAGATCCAAGAACTAATATGTTCTTCAGTTACGAGGGAGACGTATTCACCTGCTAAATAATCGTGGCCCTTCAAATATTAATGCTTACAGATAGCATGTTTTTTTTTCCCCCAAGATTTTCTCTAAACAGGGCTGCAGGGCAGTGACGATCTAAATTAACTTAGTTAATGTGAGAGAGACCAACTGATGCCTCAAATCTCTTTCTTTACAGGTGGTCTCGGATAACATTAAGCTCTCTGTCAATGACTTCATAATTAAAGCTTCGGCTCTGGCATGCTTGAAGGTGCCCGAGGCGAATTCTTCATGGATGGACACAGTTATTAGGCAGTAAGTTTATGGTACGGTCGAAGCCAGAAACTTTCTTTGTTCAGTAGAGAGTTCACAGCATAATAACAGATCTTCTGGTGGGATTTTGAGGTGGGAGGCTGACGGGTGTAATGCAAAGGCTGAGGGGTTTTAGTGAAAGTGCTAAGAGCTTTGTGTCTGAGGCCAGTGTGCAAGGTGAAATACTTTTTGCAAAATGAATATTCACTTGAAGTTATCTTAACGCTTACAACAATTTTTCATTATATCTTGCTAGAGTAACTTGTATCTGCATTGTGTCTTGCAGAAATCACGTAGTAGATGTTAGCGTTGCAGTGAGTACTCCTGCAGGGCTTATAACGCCTATTGTGTTTAACGCACATATAAAGGGCCTGGCTTCCATTAGTAAGGATGTTCTTTCTTTGGCAACTAAAGCCCGAGAAGGTAAACTTCAGCCACACGAATTCCAGGTGAGGGGCTCTGATCGCTGGTAATTATTGCTGCCCTTGACTTTTCGTCCCTGTTCAGAATGATGTGCTTCAGCCAAGTTGATTAATATGCTACATGAAACGTGCTTTTCTTGCAGGGTGGCACTTTCACGGTTTCCAATTTAGGAATGTATGGAATTAAGAATTTCTCTGCCATAATCAATCCACCTCAAGCGTGCATCCTTGCAGTTGGTTCCTCAGAGAAAAGGCTGGTGCCAGCAGATAATGAGAAGGGGTAAGCTGATTCTGCATATACTGAGCTTCTGGCTTAAAACTTTGAAACGATGGCTAGTTTTCTAACGCTCCCATTAGATTATCAGTTAAAAAAACATTTGAATGTTGATGCTCTACTGCTTCCAGTACCTTCTACAGGGAGATGTTGTGTTGTACTCTTAATGGGTATGTGACCCTGTTCCAGTGAGTGATGCCTGATGCGCCATACAGTTACCCTCACAACTTCCTTGCAAGTTAAGGAAGAGCTGTTTTTTACTTTGAGGGGAGGGATAAGCTGTGGAAAAGTCTTGGATCCACAATAGTTTAGGCACTAGTCCCTCTCTAATGAGGTGCTTAAGTTTGCACCCTTAAAGAAAGCCGAGGTGACGGTCAATGATTTTAGTGTCATGTGTATAATAGTGCCTTGTTTGCAAGACCCAGGCTAATGTTTGTGAAAAGTAGTTTATCTTTCATCATTAGACCTCACGTTTTCTAACAGAAGAAAAAGTCCTTTCACGCATGGTAAAAGTATAATTAAAACTGTAGAAATTAAGAGAGGAGACAAATTTATGGAGGATGGATCAGATGGACTATTGAATATGGTTATCTCCTATAGAATACATTCTGTTACTGTGTCTCTGATAAAAGCTTTTTTGCTTTGTTAGTGTCACTGGTTTGGCACTGATTTTTAGAGGGCTATGTGTTTGTTTTCCCTTCTTTTTTCAGATTTGGTGTGGCCAGTGTGATGTCCGTTACACTTAGCTGTGACCATCGTGTTGTGGATGGAGCAGTTGGAGCGCAGTGGCTTGTCGAATTCAAGAATTTCCTTGAAAAGCCTGTCACCATGCTGCTATAATTTAACTATGTGAGCAAAACTTTCCTGGGTCACACTGTTTTGTTCTAAACAAGCTATTTAGACTTTAGTGTTCAGACATAGAGTTCCTTTTTTTATTTTAAATATGTATTATATTGTCTGGTAATCTTATTACCAGTCTGTACAGATAAAATAGTTTGCAAAAAGGCTTTTCAGAGCAATACTGTATTTTTATACAGTTAACTTGCAAACTCTTTCAAAACAGAGTTAAGCATCCCAGATCTAAAAATTATCCAGGTGGTGTGCGTACTGCCATCTGCTCCTAAATTAGGTTGAACAGGGGTGTGCATACCAAGTAATTTCATGATCTCTGGGTTCTCAAATTTGAATTATAAACATCTCTTCACAGGAGTTCAGATGAGCAGGTAAATGAAATCTGCAAGTTGGTAGAAGGTGAATTCCCTTGTTAGTCTGTTCTCCTGCTGCGGTGGGCGACAATGACAGATGCACTAAGGGACTGGAGCCCCTGGGAAGATTTTCTCAAAGGCCAAGTGTTAGCATTGCAAATGTCTTTTGGAATTTGGCACTGGTTCTGACTTTCCCAGCTATGCGATCCCTTTTGAGCACTTTAACGTAAGGTGAAAGACCACTGACACCTGTGAGGTCAGAGGGAGCCACAATACCACAGGGAACGTGCTATCTTCTCCTGGACTTTCACTTACATGTGCTTTTATATGAAATCTCTTTTGCTTTTTCTTTTGCTAAGTTAATAGCAGAATACGATGCCATGGAAATAGCTGTTTTGCAGAACGTTCAAGAGAATCTGTGTGTTGGAACCCATATAGGCAATCACACATGCTAATCCCATCAGTGGGAATTAATCATGTGATGACTTGAATGTTTGAAGAAAACTTTTTTTTCAGGCATTCTAACATAGGAAGCTCTGAGTTAGTCACTGGTACTGCAGTCCTTCCATGCATTGTCTATGTTGTCCCAGCCTCAGTAAACTGCAGAATGTGCTATCCATGTATATACTGTATGTAAAATGCTAGATAGTTCAATGGACTTACGTCCAGTTACCCCAGTCATTGTATCCTGAATGGGGTACAGTGGTTAACATTATTAAATTCCACTTTCCAAATGGAAATGTTAATGTAAAAAGGAGGATTGTGTAGTAATTATGTAGTGACCAGGAGAATTAAATAGGAGGGAGAAGGTTTTGTAAAGAAAAAAAAAAAACTAACCTGTTATTCTGTATATTGCATTAAGTACCGTCTCCTGTAAAGTCGTGGTACAAAATTCGCTGAAGATATTGAAAGAAAGTACTGTGGAAATTAAATATTTTTGTGGGAACTATTTAATGTCTGGTTGCAATGATACCTGGTTTTCATGTCTGGCTTAAGCAAAAAAAGTGTGTGTTTGGGGTGGTTTTTGGTTTTGTTGTTTTGTTTTGTTTTTGAATGATCTAAAACGTCTTGGTTCCAGACTTGCTCTAGTGAACCTGTGTTCTATTAAACATTTGGAATTGACAGACTACTAAAATTGTTCCCATGCTTTTCTCTTCAGTAATTTGTGTGGCTTACCATACTGCTGTGGCACAGAGCGATTTACTCTTCCAGTTTGATAGTGAAACTCATCCTATTAACCTTACACTGTAACAACAAATGTTCAAAAATAACACATGCTTAAGTACTCTCATGCTTGTACTACCATGCAGCACTGAACTTGAACCTTCCTTCCTGCTGTGTTCACCAGTACCTGAAATTCTGGTTAAAGGGAAACCCTTGAACACTAATGTAAGTAGTTCATCCTATGGAAACACTCCCTGAATGACAGGAAGACTCAGGATCTTGTGGGGCGGGAAGCGTGTTCCAATTCTGTGCGTGTGTGCGCGCTTGGAGTGCTGACAGTGACTTCTGGCGTTGCTTCCAGCCTGCAACCTGCTGGCTCATCTCACACAGTCACACTATTTCAGCGTGGACTGCAGCTGTAGCCGCTGAACAGGATTTCAATGCAGCCTTCTAAGTTTCTCTGAACCGAAGAAGGGGGAAAGCCAGGAGCTGTTACTCTTTCGTAAGCCCCCATTTTGAAATTGCAGCTCTACACCAACTTGTCTGACTTCTGATGTGATGAACATCCTTACAGTAACATGGTGTAGTGCAAATAAGGCATTGGTGTAAGAGCACTGTAATACCAAATTGGTCATGAAGCTACGATCATTTAAGCGATTGTATGTCCCTTTCCCCATGAAGGATACTAATTTTTATTAGTCTTGGAAGGTATTTTGTACTTCTAAGTTATTCTGCGTTTTGTGTATTAGTGTAAACTCATGCATCTTGTTTTCCTAGTTGAAGTACTCCAAGATTGTTTTTGATACCTAGCTTCACCCATAAGCATTCTTGAGCCTCGATTCTTTATACGCTGTTTTGAATGTTAATTTCAGAATGAGACCATCAAACAACAGACCTGTTCTGTACCAAACTGATAAAGTGAGGTCAAGCATATTTAGTGACTGAGAAGACTATGACGCCTATTCCAGTTGCAATCAGGAATTGTTCTAAAAAGAACAGGATGCAAGACAACTTGTAGAATCGCACATGACGTACTTCTGCTGGTTGTGCCAGCCTTAAATATATGAGAACTGCTCTAGCCATGTAACTCCAGTAATCAAAGAGCATTTATTTGAAAAAAATCAACTGCTATTGCTATATATTAAGGCAAAACTGAATCAGGTAGTAAAGCTTGTATGCATTTAAGGATCTTAAATACTACAGTTGTTTTAAAAAAAAAAAAAAAAGTAAACACTCAAGAAATACTTGAATACGTTAACTTTTTTTTTTTTCCTCCAAGTTCAGTGGTGCTAACGTTTCTCCAGACTTCCTTTTCTATATATGCACACTCTAGGCCCTTTAATCCTAAGGGCATTTTGAGATACTCACCTTGGAAGATTAGGCTAGTTTAAAAAAAGAAAACAACTGTCATCACAAGGTAAAAGTCAGGATTCTCCTTTTGGGCTTCTGTGAGCGTAAACCTGAGAGAATGCAGTCTTTAAAGTTCTGGCTTGACAACTGGCATTGTGATGAGCAATACCCCTTTTCCTTTATTAAATACTGCTGTAGTTGCGTCTTCATCTACCAATGCTGGTAGATCCAGTTGCAGTTTGTATTTTTCAGGGACCTCAATGATAACATCATCCTAAAACAAGTGAATTACAATACTTGGTTAATTGTCAATGAATGGGCAGTGAACGCCTCTATGAATTGGATGCTACAGAGAAACCACAAGGTTACTCTTTCTGTTATCTTACCTTTGAAATACTCAGATCACACTCAGAAACAGAGCTAACCTCAGGCAATTTGATTTTCAGCTCAAGCTTTAGTGGTTTCTTGTTTGCATCCTTCACAGTGAGCATTTCATAGAGAGGTGTACTTAGCTCCTCTGGCAATTCCGTACTGGCAATTTCCTCTATCAGAGGCACTTTGGACTGTTGAACACTTTCCTCCAGCAGCACAGAATCACGGGTGCAGTCCTCTGCTTCCATGCTATGTAGCAACTGATCAAGAGTCAATTCTTTCCCGTACAAACACAAAAAAGCCCACACTTATTACGGAGTTATTAAAAACTGTAATGTTATGCCATTTGACAATTAATATTATTAAACTTATGATTGCAAAGCAGAAGCTTGATCGGCTGGAGATTGTAATTTGCTGTTTCTCTTTCACCCATGCTTTCTACTTTTATTACCAAATGGCTAAAAGTTACAGCAGCTACCCCTTTTACTCAGGTCAGAGCAAGAGATCCTCAGCCCCTCAAAGGATCTGACCCTAGCAGACCTCCAGCGGCTGGTGGGAATGTGCTGTTTCAGCATCACTACAGTTTCTCAACTGTAGAACGCAGGCGAGAAAGGGCCAAAACCCAGAGGTGAATGTAGATAGGCCAGCAGGGTTCAACTGAAGTCTGGCATGAATGCTACTCTGTTTCTCTAAATTTGTATGAGTGTGTCATTTATATGTAAGGCAAGGATTTGGGTAAGAAAGATTAGGGTTGAGGAAGTGTGTTGGAGAAGTCTGATAGGCCTTCAGGGAAAAGTGACAGCAGCTATCTACGTACCATTCCTGGTGTTGTGGGTGAGAGGTGCAGTTGGCATCTGCTTTCCTTTCAGGCTTTGCTGCATCCTTTCCAGGCTTCCTTTCAGTTTAAATGTTTCGATATTGTAGGAGCATGAAAGAGTAAGGCTGCATCGTTCCTCAACAAATTTAAGTGTCAAACGGATCAAGTGTTCCATTTTTTCTGTGTTTTCTTCTGCTCTCTGAAGAACATCTGGGTTATATGCCACGTCTATAATGCTGTAGAGTTCTGAAAAGATCAGTTAACGTGTCAGAATTATTGCGATGGTACTGCATCCTGGTTCACAGGGGCTGGCATGTATTGCCTACAACCTTATACTAACAATAGGTTTGTGATGCGCTTTATAATCATTTGATTTAAAAGTCACAGCACTGAATTGGCTGCTTCGGGCAGAGAGCTCATTCTAGAGCCTGGTGCAGAGACAGCACTGACCCATGCACCGTGTTTGTGCTCAAGCACGGGGATGCGATCCAAATCACCGTGGCCGAAGGGAGAGCTAGCGCCTACCTACTTTTCAGGATTCAGGTGTACACTATCGGTTGCGATTGGTGAGGTTTTCCGAAGAGAAAGGGCTCATTTCGGGCCTCTCTGGGGCATCCTTAAACCCCGGACCCCACGGAGCTAGGGGCTGGCCGTGTAAGAGCCGACCCGCTCCGCACTCGCGGTCCCGCCCGTCGCCCCAAGCGCTGCCC